ACAGAGTAGCCCTAATCTACATAAAATCATCAAAACAAGCTGGTTTTTATAGTTTCCATGCCGAGCTAACGAAGTATTAAGTACTGCGTACTTAAGAAATATGGTATAACCACATATGTAAGGAGAAATTTCACAAGCCGAACCAGCATTTTCCACCAAAAATAAGGTCGAGCTATAGAACACATTTCAAACTCTCTTATGCCAATGAAACTATGCGACTTATAGAGACTTCAAGTTTTATAGTCAAAGGTGAACTAAAACATGATCCTTTCCTCTAAAAGCTCTGGTAAAAATCTGGCCATTTTGAAAATAATGGATTTAAATATGTACATTCATACATACATATTTCAGTCTGCAGTAATTTATAACTTTAAATTAAAATTAAAAAAAATCTATTAAGTTAAGATGTAGTGATGCATATTCTATATTTATGTGCTTTCCATTTTCTATAGGTTGATATACCTTTAGCTAGCATTATTATGCTCCAACTGGGTGTCAGCACTGGCGCTCACACGGACACGGGGACCCACGCACACACACACGTACACTGGGGGCACAGGCTGTTTGTTTTTGTGGCGACCGCTGCGCTTACCTGGCAACCGCCGCCCTGCCCTTCTCCTTCTCCCTGTCCCTGTCCTTGTCCGACTGCTCCTTCTCCTTCTCCGCCTGCTCGTGCTCCAGTGCATCATCAGCTGTCCAGGAGGCGGTGACCCTTCGCTGCTGCTGATGTTGTTGTTGTTGGGGGAACACCTTGCGAACGGTGCCGCAATTGAAGCACTTTAGAGATTCCGTGGGATTGATCGTGTTGCACTTGGTGCACGACCACTGCAGCACGGATGAGATGGTGCCCATTTCGCGGGGGAATTGCTGCGGTTTTTTTTTATGTTGCAAGCTAAGCTTATCCTGCTGCTGCTGTTGTTGTTGTTGTTGGCTGGCTGGCGGGGGGAGTGGATGCGGGGGATGTGGATGCGAATGTGGCTGCTGTGGAAGTGGTGCCTGGAACTGCCAATGGAAGTGGTGACCGGGCGGAGATGGAGATCGATTAGGAGGACCAGTGCCCGGGACCAAAACGAGAACCAAGCGATGGCTTTGGCTTCCAACAGTTGCACGCCGCGTTCTCCGTTTCGTCGCCGTTCCGTTTCGTTTCGTTTCACACCATTTTTTAACTGTTGCCGCCAGGGTTGTCGAGGTGCGCGGATACCCGCACCTGCAGGGTTGCCCGAATCCGAGTGTGTGAACCCGCATGGCCAGTGTTGTTAAACTCCACTGGGCCTTGAAACACTGGAATATGGAACGAGTGGAGCTTATTTTGTAATCTTTGCAAATAAAAAAGCTTATTGCAAATAACAATAAAATTTATTTATTTTAATTGCAAGCTACTTGGGCATAGGCTGTAGCAGCATTTGTTCTTCTTGACTTGCTTGACTAAGTCTTATATGGATATATATTTACATGTTTTTGTTGCTTACATTTATTATCAAGTATTTATATTTTTTACATTTTATTCATGATTTTGGATTTATTAAGAAAGTTTATGATATTATTGGGGTTGTTTTTTGTTGGGCTTCTTATGCATAGTATATATTCTCAACTAACCAATAGAATATAGGTTGCGAAAGAGTTCGGAACATATGTAATTCAGTCAAAATAAAAATACCAATTGCTAGCTCTCGGAACCGGAGTAGCAATCTTTTTGGGGGCTTCTTCAATGCATTTGTTGTAGTATAAAGATATTTTCAAAACATTTTTTGAAAACGTTTCTTTGTTGTTTTCTCATTGAGTTTCCATTTTGCCAAAATATTTTAAATAAAAACCGCTTATGTTCCCAGCTCCATCGTTCCATCCCTTAAATTATGCTACAATACTTAATTAGTGTTTACTGTAGTCCAGGCGAAAATAATGACTTTGGTATTACTTACGCAGATCGTGGTATATGTGCGCGCTCTGGTCACTCTGCATCTGCACGTGTATTTTTGTGTGGCAACAACATTTGCTACTAGTTTAAGTGCCGAAAAAACGCAGAAAACATGGTCAGTTCGGAGCCGAAAGGACCTGCCAAGGTGGCCAAAACGACCACGCCGGGGAAGCCCGCCAATGGACAGAAATTTAAGCCCGGCGGAGCTGGTGGCGCCAGGAAATTCGACAAATCCGGTGGAGGGCCGGGCAAAAAGTTCGACAAACCAGGTGCAAATGGTCCCAGGAAGTTCGACAAGTCCGGATCTGGGGCCTTCAAGAAGTTCGACAAACCCGGGCCAGACGGAGCCAAGAAGTTTGGGGGCGGCGGCAACAAGTTCGCCGAGGGCAACAAGTTCCGGGGAAAACCACAGGCACAGCCACAGGCGCCGGCAGAGGGCGAGAAACAGGACTGGAACAAGTTCAAGCAGGAAAAGAAGGACCTCAAGCTCAAGCGCAAGAGCTCCAAGGACACCTACGAGATCACCAAGGAGGCCAAGCAGATCTACGAGAAGCTGCGATGGTGAGGTTCCCCAAAAAAATCACGAGGGACATTTATATCAGATTTCTAAGAACTTCAGGCGTGGCTCTTCTATTTCCATTTTAGTGTTTAGTTTTTAGTTTACTTGACTCGCCAAACGTAGTACAGGACAACAATATTTTCCATTTTCATAAACAACTACCTTTCATTGCCCAATCTACTCTTCTTATAATTAAGATTATATATATAGTTTATATTACCTTTCTTTGAATTATGAAAACATTCATTATGATTACTAACATAATTTCATCATGCAGCCGCAAGACGGAGAACAAGGACAAACTGGTGGAGCAGATATACAAGGTGCTCAACGTGGGCGACACCATCTCGAAGGTGGTCAAGGCCCACGACACCGCCCGCGTGCTCCAGTGCATGCTCAAGTACGCCTCGCCGGCTCTGCGGGCCGAGATCTCCGAGCAGCTGCTGCCCTTCACCGTGATCATGTGCCAGTCGAAGTACGCCCAGTTCTGCGTACAGCGGATGCTCAAATACGGCTCGCCGGCCACCAAATCGAAGCTGGTGGACAGCCTGTACGGCCAAATTGTCCGTTTGGCCGGACACAGCATTGCCAGCGGATTGCTAGACACGATGTACCAGAGTGCCACGCCTCAGCAGCGCATCCATATGCGTCAGGAATTCTACGGCGATCTGTATCGAAAGGCCAAGGATTCGAATGTCAAGACACTGAGCGACACCTACAAGGAGGCCACAAACATGAAGGCCTCCATCCTGGGCTCGGTGAAGGCGAATCTGGACCATGTGGCCAACAAGCAGCTGGTGGACAGCTCGCTGGTGCACGCCGTTATGCTGGAATACCTGCGCGCTTGCGACGAGGATGAGGAGAAGCTGGAGGAGACGGTCACTGCGTTTGCGGCCCTTGTGCCCCACATGCTGTCCACCAAGGAGGGCAGCGAGGCGGGCGTTATCTGCTTCTACAAGTCCACGCCCAAGAACCGGCGAGTGAGTAAACAGTAAGTCAGAGATGTTATAGAAAAAGTCTAATGTATTTGACATTCCCCGGCAGGCCATCATCAAGAACATCAAGGAGCACCTGCTGAAGATCGCCACCCACGAGCATGGCCACGTCTTTCTTATCTCGTTGCTAAACTCTCTGGACGACACCAAGGCCACCAAGAAGGCCATCTACGACCATCTGCACGGCGATCTGAAGACGCTGGTGGGCAACCAGTATGGACGACGAGTGGTCCAATGGCTAGTGGCCCCGGGCGACACCACATGCTTCCATCCTGAGTTCATACGCGTGGTGGACGAGGGCCTGGCCTTTGGCAAAAAGGAGAAGGAGCTGCGTCGCAAGGAGATTTTCGAGCAGATCGAGGCGCCCATTGCACAGGCCATCGCCGAGGAGGCGGACTTCTGGCTGTCCAACAGCCACATTGGTCTGGTCACCGCCGACATTCTTAATCACAGTGAGTGCCTACAGCTCTTTTGGAAACAAAAATGAGAAAATGTGTTCAAATCGCTTGCTTTTCTGCTTCTCTCCTCTTCAGTTCAAGGCGAATCCTATGAAAAGGCGGCTGCAGCCCTCGCCCAAGTGGTTGCCCAGCCGGATTGGCGCATTTCAGCCGACGCCGCTGGGCCCGTGCCACAGGATAAGAAGAAGCCCCACAACGATGTGGAGGCCATCATAGCCGAGGCCACCAAACAGCGCAGAAAGCTCCTAAATGCCGATAGCAGCAGCAGCAGTAGCAGTGACGAAGGAGATGAAGATGGGGATGAAGAAGAAAATGGTGAGAAGGAGCCGCAGACGGGTGATGAGGATGAGACCGAGCCGGAGCTGAAGAAGACCAAAAAGGAGGCCAACAAATCAAAGGCAAAGGTGGAGGAGCCGTCGGCTCCTCTGGTCATCGGAATAGAGGAGGCCGGCATGCACATTGTGTTAAAGAAGATCCTCAAGAACGATGGCAAACACGAGGGCCATCCCTTCAGCCAAAAGCTCCTGCAAAGCCTGTCCACCGATGTGGTGAGTACTTGTATTTCATATACAGATCAATTAACCTTTAAACATCTTTCAATCCTGAGAAATAAGAACACTCTAATTGCGTTCAAGAAATTTTTTATTTATTTCTAAAGGACATGATAACATTACTATTATAAAGAACGCATCGAATGTATGCTAAATCGATCAGTGCTTTAGAATGCGTTTTGATAAATTGAGTACTTCTTTATTTAAAAAATGTTTCAATATTATTTTATCAATAAGTAGTTGCCTAGGTTTATGTTCCCTAACTCTACCTACGATTCCCTTTTGCAGCTCAAAGTCTGGCTGGGCGTGAACCGCTCCTGTTTCGTCCTGCTGAAGCTGGTGGAGGAGAGTCCCGCGCTGCTGGAGGACTGCAAGAAGGCCATCGCGGCGGAGAAGAGCCTGAGCCAGACGCTCGTAAAACAGAAGACGCTCGGGGCCAAACTGCTGGCCGCCAAGTTGAACATTGGCAAATGAAAACCCCTTTTAGCTTAGACAAACCTAACACTTTAAAATACATAAATCTATATTGAAATGACTGTATATTCCGTTTTATTCATGTGAAGAGACGCGTGAGCTGTGGAGTCGGTGGTCGAGGGGCTGAGGGGTCTAGGCCTTGCGCAGGATGATGTGCAGGCCGGAATCGCTGTCGACGATGCCCGACAGCTGGCCGACGTTCAGCTTGAAGGCGGCGTCCTCGAATGAAGCCTGCATCTGACCTGTGATGGGAAAAAATGGAAGTTAAAAGGGTTGATCATGCTTTCAAAAACCCCTCTCTAAACACTCAAATAGGTAAAATACATTTAAAGGGCTTTGCTATTCAGTTCCCTGCATTATTTTGTAGAAGTTCAAATAACAAAGAATAACCAAGTTGGCCATACAAATAGTGGGTTATATGGTGTTTCTTATATAATTCGATAAGAAACATAAAATTTAATTTATACTAGTTATATTGCGGTTGCATGAATTTGACCAAAAAAGGTAAATAAAATCTATGTTCTTGCCGAACATCTTTGAAAATAAAAATGTACAGAAATTAGGCGATTATATATTAGGAAAATAACAGAATTATTACCAAAATCCGCCATTTTGCAAATGATAATTTCTACTCTGGAAGATAAACCTTGCAAAACCGAGACTTTCTTGAACTTAATGTTTAACAGATCCTAGAGAGCACTACTTGCTGCTCTTGCAGAGCTCTAGGGAGCAATTACAATGCATAAGCCTTACCTCTGCCGAACTTTCCGAGGTCGCCACCCCTCTTGGCGGAACTGCAGTCGGAATAGGAGCGGGCCAGCTCGTCAAAGGTGGCCTCCTGGTTGACTATCTTGTTGCGGTAGACCTCCAGGAGCAGCTGGGCCTCCTCCTTGGTGCGGGTGATGTTCGCCTCGCGCCACGAGCTGGGACGCCGGCTGCCCTTGTGCTTCACCAGCAGATGGAGGCACTGCACCTCGTCGGGGGCATCTCCCCCGGCCGCGGATGCGGAGCTGGAGCCGGATCCGCCGCCGCCACTTTTCTTGGCCGGTTCCGTGGGCTGGTCCCACTGCGATTCCTTGGTGTGCACATTCAGGTAATAGCTCAGACCTGCAAAATGGCAACATTTTAGCGTGGCCTGCCGGTTGCGAATTTCTCTGAACGAATGGTTGCGGTTTTTCCGCCGCCGCCGAGTTACGTTGCTTACCTGTGTAGCGGCTGGTGCGCTTCTCCCAGCCCTCGGGCAGTTGTTCGGCGTCTGGCATGCTGGTTTGGCCTTATTTTACAATAAAACTGCAAATATTTAATTGTTTCAACACTCCACTAGAGATGTAAGCTCAGTAACAGCGGTTATCGATAATTGATGCCGGTTCAGACTCAGGTATCATGAGATGGAAACATCGTTAGAAACACCAATGTTTCAAGGCGACTATCGATTAATAATAGTTATTAAGCATTAATAATGTTAATTAAATTTATACATATTAGTTAATTCGCTCCAGTCTCCAAAAACCAGTTTCCCCTTCTCCACCATATTGGCGCGATCAAGGTGTTACATTCCAGGGAATTTTTAACAGCAATGTTAAGATACAACAACAAAATACCAAAAATATACCACAAGTATCGATAGTCGATAGCACCATCATGGGAGGGTGTCCCCCCTATTTATGGTGTGTGAACTGGCTAACTAAAGAAAATTCAAAAATTTGTGAATTCGGTTATAAGCAGTATGATTTCTAAATTTTTTAAAGTAAAATTAAAATTCAATTTATTACCCCCTAAACTATTCAAAACTTATTTTTAATAAATCAGTATATATATGTATAAACTTATTTATTTTTTGTTTATTAACATTTTATCCTCCGACCTGAAACACGAACGAACTGCAATTTTTCTAAATGTTTATTCAGGGGATTAATAAAAATAAAATAAATACGTGGCATTTGTACAATTAGTTTTAGTGTTTTTTGTTTCGATTTTATTACAGGCTAGCTTTAAGTAGGTTAACATTTTAAAAGGACTAGCACAAGGAGTAATAGTAATCCTCTCAGCTCAGCGTATATAAATATTGCGTATTTGTAGGCATATATATATTTGCATTATATATATCTATAAGGTTTTCTCGTAAAGAGTGGGCGAATACTTGGCGTTGTTGGAGTTGTTAGCTAATTAGTTAAGGGCGGGAGCAAGTGAGCTAATAAAAAAATTTAAATTAATTATACAAAACAATTAAATACATTTTATAAAAGTACAAACACGTTCTTCTTGCGATCTGATGGGTATTTTGTTTTCTTTTTTGTTTATGCTTATGTTTCTGTTCGTTTTTGTTTTTGTCTCTGATTCTTTTCGATACGGTTTTGCTTTGTCATGTGTGTTGGGGCAGCTGCTCTGTCACGGCAGCTGCCCAAGCCCCTTCCCGCGAGCCACCCAACAGATGTCCAATTTAATTCTTTAAAATAAACCTACACCTCGAAGGGGCTCCTCTAACTTGTTAAAATTAAGTTAACACCTCTAAGGTGCTTTCATCCATTTTACAAAACTAAAATAGCATCTAAAAGGCGCTTCTTTAAGTTCTTAATAATAAATGCACACCCGCAAGGCGTTTCTTTAGCTCCTGTAAAATGCAGTGCACACTCTAAGTCGCGTTTTTAAATTATACAAATGAATTCGAGGCCTTAAAGGCGCTCCCTTTAAGTTATAAAAGTTAAAAGTACACCTTAAAGTCGGTCTTTTTGATTTAAGAAACTAAGCTCACACCACAAGGGCTGTGCATAAATTAAGAACACATTAAAGAACCCCTCGACAATGCTCCTTCAGTTGCCTGAAATTATAAATACACCTTGAAGGCGCTCCAGCCGTGGAAGCACTTGGTAAACCGGCGCGACTCCTTGTTCTTCATCGTGAGGAAGAGTTTCCTCGGCCTCTCCGGCTGCTTAATCCGCATGTGCTGGATGTACACCTGGGCGGACTTGTAGGCCAGCTTCACCTCCACCTCGCTGCAACGCGGCCCCATCCACAGGAAGACGTGCTCGCCGTTGTCCAGGATCATTATGTCGTCGTCGGCCAGATCGTCCTGGCAGAAGTCGGCGCACTTCTCGGCCACCGTGTAGTAACCCCGCTCGTTGGAGCACCGGAACAGCCGCGTGTAGTCCATGTACTCCGCGTCCGTGTCGTAGGGCTTGCGACCGCCCAGCGCCACCCAGAAGAAGTTCTCCGGCTCGTCGCCCTCGTTGAGAATCTGTGAAAAAGTGTTTGGTAAGTGAATAAAGAATATCTCACTTGTTTAACAAAATTCGACCCGCGAATTCTTCAGTTCGAAATATTTTTTATATTTCACCGCTAAGTAAAAAAATTGATCAAATCGCAATTACTTTTATATGTATAATAACAAACATTCCTGAATAGGGTGTTTGGGTGAACTATAGGACTAAATAGAACTCCTACCTGCAGGCTAACCCAGGGTGAGTTGAACATCTGCTCGGCAATATCCTGGACCAGCTTGGCCTCCTCGTTGCAGGCTTTGCTACCTATCCACACATATACAATCCCCGACTGCGAATCGTCCTCCGTTTCAAATGGCACATGGAGTATATAGCTGAAATGAAAATGATACAAAATATTACATATGTTAACGGATACATGTACTTCAACAAATGACTTAAGGTGTTCGCCACGTACAATATTTAGTTTTGTTTATCTTTTCACAAAAAAAATTGGACACACATATCTCTTAAGACTTAAAAAATTTCAAAGTTAAACAATGATAAGACAAGAAAGTGGGTCCCACGGGTTGCTATGTCACAAAATAAACAAGCTAAGTAAAATTTAAGCCACGCCATACTCACCAGAAGGCCGAGTTGAGATGCACTGCATCCGGATTGATTTGGATAAGGCGCGTGGTCAATGCACCGCCGTTCGATCGCAGATGGAAAAACTCCACGGGCGACTTACCCTTCGCCGTGAGCGCCTTGTCCTTCCGCTTGCCGGTGTGGATGATAAACTTGCGCTTGAAGTGCGACATGAACTTGAGGTTCTCCTGTTGCTGGAAAATCCGCACCACCTCCAGTTCCTCGCCGAACATCGCCTTGAATTTCTTCTGCAGCGTAAAGGTAAACGTGAGCCAACCCATGTTGCCGGCATTGCGTCCCTGCCAGAAGTAGACGACGCACTGGATCTCATCCTCTGGCTGATTGTTGGCGCTGGACTTACTGTCATCCGCGGCTGGGTTAGCACCATCTTCAGGGCCATTTTCTGGCTCCTCAATGGGAATGCAATAGCGACACAGGAACACGTAGCATTCGCCGGTGTAAAATCGACCCAATTCCTCCTCCGGCAGCCGGACAAACTTCTTGTTCTCCAGCACAAAGGCCTCCATCATCTCCAGATCGTAGTTCCACTCCTCCTCCAGCTGTTCCGCCTCTGCCAAGGGCATGGCCGACTGCCGGGGCATAAACAGGGCGGCCAGATCCGTGCGTGTCTCCTGCTGCCGGGCCCATTGTGTGAGATTTGCCCCCGTCTTGGCCACCGACTTGGCTGTCCGTGTGAAGTCCACGGCCATTACCTCGTCCCAGCCAGCGAATTTGGTGCGGAAGATCTGCATTTCATTGCCCTCCGGCACACGCATTACCAGCGCATAGTCCGGGCGATCCATCATGTTGAAGAGCTCCCGGCTCAACTTGACGGCGGCCGCTCGGACCAATCTCGTCGACTTCTTGCCAAACCAAACAAACAGATCCGTATAGCAATCGAGTATATAGACGTGCTTGCTGTTCAGCAGGGTGTGGCAGAGTTTCTGCTCAGGTAACTCCACTTGCGGCAGCTCCAGATATCCCATGCCCAATTGCACCTGGTAGAGGCGTGGCTGCACTGGCTGATAGTCCTCTGGAACGTGCTCCTTTGGAGGCTCGGCGGCGGCTCCCTCCTCCGGCGTCATGTCCAGCCCCTGCCAAAACTCCGGACTCTCTTCGCCCTGCCGCTCCAACTGGATCTCACATTTGTTTTTCCGCTCCGTTTTGCTAATCTTCTCCGCCATCAATCTGGCTTTGGAGTTCAGCGTGTTTTTCGACCTCTCGCCTAGCCAAATGTAAATGTGGGTTCCCAAATCCAGGACGAAGGCGTGCCGGGGATCCAGGGACGTGACCAAAGGAGCCACAGGCTCCAGATGAATAGTGGCGCCATAGGCGTGCACCAAATACAACCTGGTGATATGTATCATCTCCTCAATGGTATAGAAACCAGTGGCCGTACGCCCGCCCTCGATGTAGATGACTTCCGTTTCAAATAGGGCCAGAAACTCTTCGGACTCGTCGCCCTGCTCCTCGCGAATCGTACGACACCGGGCGCCCAGAAAGTTCCTCAGGTTCACTGCATGGATAGCAGCGCAGGCACGTTTATCTAGGGTGGCCTCATTGCCGATCCAAAAGTATATCTCCCAATCGAGCAGGCCAAGGTCATCGAACTTGGTCTTGAGGACTATGTAGCAATCGCCCTCATAGAATTTGCCATGCACCACCTCCTCAATTTTGTTGGGCAGGAAGTTCTCGATCTCCCAGATGGTCAGGCCCGGCAGCTGGCCATCTTCCTTCTCGAAGAACTTGGAGTAGTCCAGTTGCGGCTTCTCCAGCGACTCGTCCCATCTCTTCGGCTTTAGGGACTCTGGTTTGCCGTCCTCGGGCAGAGCACCCGCCTCGTTATCCTTGTCCTTGGCCACATCCTTCATGCCCTTGAGCACCTTGGCAGCATCCTGATCGCCCTCGCTGCGCGGACCGCGCCTCAAGCGGATCTTCCTTGCCGTCGAATCCTTGGGCGTGGCCGACGATGGCATTGAAGGGGGCACAGCAGCGCCAGCTAACCGCAGCTGGGTTTGCAGACTAAAATCTATGTTGTAGAACTCCAGGCTTGTGGCTTTACTCGCCTCACTTGGCTTGGGCGGCATCACTAGCTCTGGATTGTTGCGCAAGTCCAGCTGATCCAGTCCCTCGAGCAGGTGAATGGCATCGGGCAGGGTTATCAGCCGATTACAGCTCAGGTTGAGCTGTTTCAGAGCACCGCATCGGCAGAGACCCTCGGGCACCATTTCCAGCAGATTGTTGGCCGCCGAAAAGACCTCCAGAGCACCCAGTTTGCCAATGCCTGAGGGTATGCCCTCGAAATTCAGCTTATTATCGTTAACCAGCAATCGCCGCAGCTTGGGCAGTTTGCAGAGAGCGGCGGGCAAGGCCACCAGTTGATTCCGCGATAGATTGAGCGACTCCAAGCGCTGCCACAGCTCCACACCGGCACTCAGCTCGCTGAGCTCGTTGTCGCTCAAATTCAGCCGCACCAGGGTAACCACATTGTAGACGCAGTCAGGCAGCTTGGGCAGCGAATTGTGCGACAGGTCCAGCTCGCAGAGATTGGCCAGGCTGTCCAGGCTGGTGGGGAAGTTAAGGAGCGTGCGCTGCGTGCCACTCATCTTGAGGACCTCCAGGCTCTGCAGCGAGGGCAGCTGGCGCAGTTGGAACAGCTCGAGCGGATTGTGCGACAGGTCGAGCGTTTTCAGATTGATTAGACGTCGCGTCTGCGGTGGCAATGTCTCCAGTCGGTTGTGCGACAGATCCAGGAAGAGCAGATCCGTGAGATGGATGAATAGCGGCGTGGGTATGGTCTCAATCTGATTGTTGCTCAGGTTGAGCACGATCAGGTTCTTGGCCCGCTCCAGGCCCTCGGGCACCTCCTTTAACTTGTTGTGCGACAGGTCGAGGGTGGTCAGCTCCTCCAGGTGGAACAGTTCCGGCGGTATGCCGCTGTTCTTCAGCTTGTTGTGCCGCAGGTCGAGGGAACGCAGGCAGGTCAGCTCCGTCAGCTCGCCGAAGATCTTCTCCAGGCGATTGTGATTCAGCGACAGGTGCTCAAGCTTCTGCAGATGGCCCAGTTCCTCGGGAATCTCCGCCAGCTGCGTGCGATCCAGTGTGAGCCACTGCACCCGCGACATCTGCCGCATAGAGCTGGGGAATGTTGCCTGCAATCGAATCGATCATATTTCAGGATTATCTCTTCCATCGGAGTTATGACTAATGCCCCAGGTTTTGTGTGTTTTCGTGTGTGTGCTTTTCGGTGACCTGTTTTTTTGCTTTTTTCTTCTTTTCTTTTAGAACCCGAACCCGTACCCCATCTCCGAAAAAACAACAACACTGCGGGCGGATCTTGTTTGTTGTACTCACGCTGAAATCATTTTTCGTAAAGTCCACACCGCGCACGAACGGCAGCACGCTCATTTTGACCACATAAAATGTTATATTTGTTATATATTTTGGGCTCAAGCTGCTGGCCCTGTTTTTCGTTTCTTCTTCTTTATTTTGTTTTTTTGCACTAAAAAAAGAAGAAGACTAGCTGGTGACCGTCCGCCGCTCGGCCATGCAAACGGCTTGACTGCGCGACGCCCCTGTGTATGCAGCATGCAGACCTGGTCACACTGAACGTGTTAGCCAACACTGGAGTGTTAGAAATCACATGCGGCACACTCGCGTATCTTTAAATAGGTGTGGATACATATCACTTTAGGGAGTTGGTCACGAGAATACGTCTTTTGTGGCCCCAATATTTTTTAAAGTAATATTATTACTTAGACCTCACACTTTAACGTTATCAACAAGGGTATTTATTAGTTTTTCACAGTTGCTAACTGATTGACCAACATTGTTTAACTTAGGGTGTAAATCAGTGTGACCCTTTATGGCGCACTGTTTTTTTAATTTCTTAAATTTAATTGAATGTGTAGTAGCTTTTAATTCTTTAATGAAAATAACGTTAGTTTTGAGAAGTCTCTTAGTTCACTAAAGATATCGATGAAAAATACAAGTAAACAGACGAAAACGTTCTTTAATTTCATAGAACTTGTGTACCCAAATTTAAATACAATTTATTAAACTCCGGCCTAAAATTAAACATAAAAAATTAAGCTAATTTTTTGACTAAAAAGAAAAATGGCTACAGCATTTTTTAGTGCATGCTAGCGCGCAACTGCCGGTCACACTGCTGGGGGTTCGGTTTTTTCGGAGGTCCTTTTCGTCCTGCGAAAAAAACAGCATAATCCAGAGGGTGTGACCAAATTGAACGACACGAAATTTTCATACTTTGCCCAGTCTTCGGAATGTGAAGGTCCTTGCTCGTGTGTTGTGTTGCCTTTTCCCCGAAATTGAAAAAACAAGAAATTAAAACTCTTAATAGATTCGTACATTACAAACCCGATTGCATTGCAAGTGTTGGATACAAAATACAAAAGATATTATTACCCAATTTAATGCGAAAAGGCCGAGAGTCTGACAGCTGAAAACGAAAAAGTGCAGCAAAAAGTAATAATTTCGAATTTCTGTCAAGTGACTTCCCTGGGCTTTGTTTGTTGTGGAAAATTGTGTACCCCCGAAAAAAGGGAGTGTTTTTAGTTGGCGTTCCTTCGTCACTAGTTTAAATGTCAAATAGTTGGCGAAATTAATTTTTGCTTGTGTATGTGTGTCTGAGTGTTATTGTTGCATTTGTCGTTGCGTAGCAAACGCATTTTGCACTTCGTTAGTGTGCGTGTGGGTGGGTGGGGGAGGCGGATGATAGGGGAAGGGGGCGTGGCAGCGGAAAGTGGGCGCAGCAATTACGAGAGAACTGCGAAAGGAATAAGGATAAGGAAGAGGAAGCAGCAGGAGCGGGCTGAAGCAAAGCCAGAGCGAACTTATAATCAATAGATATACAAACGCACGCGCAGTCGCGTTACCGTTACTCGCACACTCGCCTCTTTTTGCCCTATCCTTCTTGTCGTTGTTGTTGTTCTTGTTGTTTTTGTTGCTGCACTGTTGGACAAAACGAACCAGGAAGAGGACGACAAGTGAACAAAGTTGCTATTGCGCTGGGCAGCATCGTTCGTCCTCAATCAAAATCATGTAAAAAACGGAATTAGGAAAGCGATAGAAATACAAAAAAGAATAAGAGAAAACAGCCGCGTTCGTGTCCTTAAATTTTTAAACATAACCACCAACATGCAAATCCATCAACCGGCAATCCCAGTAGTTTGTTTTTTAATTGAAAAGAGCCCGCAAGTGTGGGGGCAACCTACTTATTGAGCAATTAAGGCCATGCCCACGCATGCACGCCCACATATGTATGTATGTGTGTGTACATACAGGAGCCGTTATTTCGAGTATGCCAAAAAGTGGGGTTAAAATCGCCAACGCAGATCCCTATAGAGCATGAAGAAGAAGAAAATAACACTATTTTCTTTTACATATTTTAGCGAGTTTTTAAATTATCGCAATTTAAATTAACACAATTTGTTGAGTTTAACTTTTAAATATACATATGTATATGCAGATATTGGAGTGTAATGTTTGTGTAGCATTCAAAATTATAAAATATAACAATTAAGTTCAACCTTATTATAGCTTTATATCAAAGCGTTACAATCATATAGTCAATAAAATCTGGAACACATTAGTAGGAAACCAATTGTTTAGAAGTCAATTTTTTAAATTCATATTCCTTATAAAGTACTTTAAAATTAATCATTAGTTGTGTCGGTCCGCCCACATAGCCGTCGATTTCTTGAGAACTGTAACACCTCGAGAATTCTGATTGAATAAATAGCTTTTTTTGGCAGCAATTTGCCACGCCCACATTCATTTTTAACAGAAGATGCATTTTTTTGTCTTTACAAATTTGTTTTGAATATATCAAAATCTTTTTAAAGTAAAGTTACATACTATAGTTTTCTGCTCACAAAGACGACTCCTTTTGGTATGCTACATTTTTTCTGAAACGAAGCATTTATCCTGTTTATTAAAAAATTACCAATTTCTTTAAAATTATAATTTGGCGTACTCATAAAGTTTAGCGTTTCCTACACTTTCATTCATTCAACGTTTAATTGTTAAATCTCTAATCTGCTGGGAGAGCTAAGCTTATAGAGGTTAAACCCTTATCTGTCGCAAGTGAAATCTTTCCAAAGAGTACTTTGGATGATAGAATTGATTAGAAGAGTTTTTGAAAGCTTTTTTAACATTAAACAATAACCGGAGCCTTCGGTGCCTCAGAAAATTTATATTAATTAAGAAACGTGCACTTCTGGTTACTTAATATCCTTTCTCCCCCTGCTTTCTTCGCTCCTTCTCCAGTGCACGTCAATTTGGATTCGGTGTCAAGAGGTTAGGAAACTCAGGCCCGTGAGCACGTAGCAGGAAAACGCGCAGCAACGAGGGAAGGAAAACCGTCAGGAGCAACAAAGGACAGGAAGAGCAGGCACACATTCCGATTCCAGAAGGGGGAAAGCCGTTGGAAAGCAGGCCAGGATGGGCGACTATCACGAGTTCACGGACCAGTACAAGGTGCCGGTGATAGCGAAGCTACTCCACGCCCTGCCCCACTACAACATTACGTTCCACAAGATCAACAGCACGTTCCGGCCCAACGATGAGATCTACCTGGAGGTTAGTGAACTATGTATACTCAAGGACTCGCACTTAATCTCGCACTTAGTCGAGTTTCTATAACTTGTATTAACTACTATAATATACGTTTAATGGCCCGACGCTTATGTATTTAAACAAGTGCTTTTCATTATATCATTTTGATTTGCCTCGAAATTGTTATAAATAACGCGATTTCTTTTGGCTCTAATCTTTATAGTGACATACGACCGTTTTCTAGGCAGCACAATTTTTAAACTCCAAATTTTCGTGTGTTTTCTATGTTTAAAGCCTACTTAATATACGTTTCCATCATATTCAGCTTCAAAACAAGAAAGTGTAGTTCTTTTTTGTATATATTTCTATATTACTTTAAATAGTGGTTTGGTGGACTTGTCAAAAGTATAAACATAATAATAATTGCACTATTACAAAAGAGAGTCTAGTTAACTTTTGAGTAACCACAGCTTTCCCTCGCTTTCTCTTATAGAGCCTGGGCATCCTGGGCTCGGTTCCGGCTGCCCTGCTGATCGTCTCGCTGCTGGGACTGCTCTTCTATTTGATGACCCGCTGCTGCGACCGGAAGCCCCGACCAGCCCACTCGATCACCAGCCTGAAGGTGGCCCTGTCCATCGTGACGGTCATGTGCTGTGCGGCGATCGGATTGGGACTGTATGGCAACGATGATCTGCACAACGGACTGCTGGAGGTGCTGACGGCGGGCAGAAAGGTGGACAACCTGGTCACCACCATCCGCAACCAGACGCACATCCTCGAGAACACGCTGACGAATCGAATAAGGCCGCAACTGGTGGAACTGGCGGACATCTTCGATCAGCCAGTGTCGAATCAAACTGCCCTCTCCAAGCTCTTTGTATCGCTCAATATTGTCCAGGGAAATGTTACTTTGGCCACCAATGCGGCCAGCGATATCCGACGACCCCTGATGGGCATCTCCATGACGCACTTCCTCACGGTACGCCCTATTACAGACCAAAAATGCTGAATACCAAATACCATTTTGTAATCCTCTTTAGCGTGGCGATCAATGGGAACTGATACGCTGGCCGGGAACGGTGGCCACTTTGGCCCTGCTCCTTGTCCTGTGCGCCGTGCTGCTGGTGGGCGTCGCCCGGCACTCGCGCTGTGCCCTAATCCTGTTCAGCGTCTGCGGCCTGCTGGCCGTCACCGGTTCCTGGCTGATGTCCGGTCTGTATCTCTCGTCCTCGGTGGCCGTTGGCGATCTGTGCATCTCGCCAGCGGATTTCCTCGTGTCCACGGCACCCCGGGACCTGCCCACGAACGTCCTGCTGCACTACACCCAATGCGAGCCGGGCCACACGAATCCGTTCACCCAGCGGTTGAGGGAATCGCAGAATTCGCTGAACAATGCACGCAGTGCCATGGCCACGGTGATGAAGATATCGCTGGTGCTCTTCAAGTCCTCGGGCCTGCAGCCGAAGCTGGGTGCCGTGAATGCGGATCTGAATAGCAGCGAGAGATTGCTGACCCAACTGACGGCCCTGGTGGATTGCAAGGCGGTGCATCACAATTTCCTGGCCGCCGCTCGGGGACTTTGCGAGGGAGGACTCCTGGGACTGGTCCTAATGCTGATAGCCAGCTTCATAGCGGCCATTTTGCTGACCATCATGGTGTGGGTGGACTCGCACACGTGGATCTACATACGGAAGCGGAACGACTACGCCCAGGTGGACGAGCCATCGTATATCTCGCACCCGGCACCGCAGAATCACCAGCAGATGATGAATGCCGCCAGGACGTTGCCGCGAAACCATAATGGGTATGTTATAGAAGATCCTCCATAGAAGACCCGTCCCGCCGCCCGATTCCCGCCTCCATTCTCTCGATCTCTCTCTCTCTGTTCTCTCTCGTCCCTCTGCTCTCTGTTTCCTCTGCTCTTGCGCCATATCTGACATTCCAGGCACTTCAGCCCGCCGGTGATCAGCGGCTCCCACACGCTCCAGCATCCCAGCAAGCGGCAGCAGCACGAGATGATGGCCCACGCCCACATCCAGCAGAACATGCGCGCCATGGGCACCCACACGCTGGGCCGGCTGCCGTCGCACAACCACAGCCCCACCCACATGACCGGTAAGTGGGGACCCACACCACCCACTCCCGAGAGTTGAATCTCGAATCTCGAACCACACGCCCACTTCTCTATCTGACTTTGCACTGGGAGAAAAGCGACCTAAAGTAATTGAATGTAGTACAAAAATAGACAGAAAAAATATCAATGGGATTTCCCTAAATTCAAATATTTAGAATATGATGAAATATGATTAAAATATATGATAGTTAATATCAAAGATAAAGAAAATATTTAAACAAATCAACAAAACGGAATGCAACAATTTAGAGTATTATAGCTAAACTTGACTTAATTCAAACGCGACAGTTATATATATATAGATAATATATTTCAAGGATAACATTGTAATTTATAAACTTTTAATAACTGAAATTGAAAATTCTTAAAGTCAAATTGTAGAAGGCGCCTTTTCTCTCAGTGTATGTTTACATATCTATATCAATCTTTGTGTCCATATGTGTATAAAACCCGGAGACCAAATTGAGCTGGCAATTGAAAAGGACTTGCAAGGAAATCGCGTTTACAGTAATACAGTAAAACTTTAAATTAACCATATGTCTGTGAAACGGGTATAACCGTTAAAAGAGTTGAATAATTAATGTTTTGTCAATTAAATGGAAATAATTTTGATATAAAAGTTGTAATTGAACGGTTCGTGACGAAAGCCGCTTCATAGCCTGGTTTCGAAAATGCATAACCGATAATTAACCGATTCGTAACCGGTTCAGCTATTTCTAACTGCCAATCAACCGCTCACTTCGCTCTCATTATGTACGTTTCTTCTATATAATCTCATTCCATGCCAAATGCCCGCGCCCATCCAACGATCCACACCATAACCACCATCACCATCACCATTACCATCGTTGCGTCGACATCCTGCATCCTGCATCCTGCATCCGCATCCGCATCCAACTCCACATCCTTCGCCCAACCCGCGCCTATTGCTAATCGTTGTGTGTGTGTGCATTTTTGTAGGTCCCAATAATGGTAAATATGCAACCCTAAGCAAACAATGCAAGACATTGGAAGCGAATGACTTTTACTGAAAACCGTCGCCACCCCCCGCAGCAGCAGCAGTCGCAGCAGCAGCAAACGCCGCCGCCAACATGCCGCCGACCACGCAGGCCGCCCAACAACAGCAACAGCAACAGCAGGCACAGCAGCAGCAACAGCAGCAACAACAGCAGGCACAGCAGCAATTGGGAGGACCACAGCCCATCTACTGTCATCACCCGCATCAGCATCCGCATCCGCATCCGCACCAGCATCCGCACTCGCATTCGGCCGCCGCCGTGGCCGCTGCAGTGCAGCACCAGCACGCGATCTACCATCAGCAGCAGCAGCAGGCGCAGCAATATGGCACCTACACCACGGCCGCCCACCACGCCCCGCATCATTTGGGGCCGGGCCAGAGCCAGATCTACCAGCAGATCCCGGCCCATTTGGCTCCCCAACTGGCGGCCAATGGGAATCCGCATTCCATATACCAGCCGCTAGTTGCCGTCAGCCAGGGCTCCATTTATGTATCCAACTTGGCCACGATGCGGCGGCAGAATAGCCAGGGTGGTCCGCAGATTCCGGCGCATCAGCATCCACCCAGCTTGCATCCGCAGCAGCAGCCACCGCCGCCCTCGCAGCAGCAGCAACAGTTGCATCAGCTCAAGTCGCCGCAGCAACACCAGCAACAGTTGCAGCAGCAGCAGCAGCAACACCACCAGCAGCAGCAGCAACACCACCAGCAGCATCAGCAGCCACAGCAGCAACATCACCAGCAGCAGCAACAGCAAAACGAATCGGACGTCATACCCATTAGCACGGCCATGGATGGCACCATTTATGACCGGGATAAGCAGATCTACAAGTGCTCCACTTTGCGGCAGGGCGGCAAGTTCGATCCCAAGTACAAGCCATCGATACTCAACTGCCCGCTGCCGGAGATCCCCAAGGATGCGGAGCAGCCCAAGGTTGAGTCCATCTACGAGCAGCGCCAGCAGGCCCATCACCAAAACTACTCCAAGTAGGTGTTGTAGGGCTCCCAACCCGAGTGCCAAACAAGGGAACTTAAAGTTCCTGGCATGGCTGCGCTAGAAATGGTTAAAATGCTATCCAGAAAGCTTGAATTTCGTGAATTTGTTTCTTATTATATTAAAAAAACTATAGCTTGCGTAGTAACTAATTTTGTAACTGAACACATAAAGGAGTTTTTAATAGAGTGTTTCAGTTTTTTAAAATCAGTATATAATAATATACTATTTATTGATTTTATAACAATTTATTTTTAGCTATATTATTGACTATTATCGCTTTATCAGCTTCTCTTTTTGTTGTTGGCTGTAAGTTATAATAATGGCTATTTAAAAATCGTTCTTTGTTAGATTTTAGAATGCTATTTTTGTTATAAGCTCTAATGGTATTTTCTAACTTTGTTCAGGACCCTGCAGCGTCCGCCGATGAAGTTGCCGCCGCAGATGAAGGCGATTCCGCCGCCGCGCATTGGAACGCCCACCTCGCCGCCACCGCCCGTCGCCCAGTCGCTGGGTGAGGCAAATGGAGGAGTACCATCTGTCCTCCAGAACGGAGGAGGCGGAGGAGGAGGAGGAGGCGGAGGTGGAAACACCAACGAGGACACCTCGCTGCCGCCGCCGCCGCTGGAGGCGCAAACGGAGGGGACCAAGGGTCGAATGGGACCAGGAGCTGGACCAGGAGCGGCCGCCAATGGCAAGGTCCTGCACAACGGCGGAGGCGGTGGGGGCGTGGCCAGCGGCGGCGGTGGAGCGGTGGACGATGATGATGACCTGCCGCCGCCACCGCCAGCGATAACCGACGAAAGCAACTATGCGGTGACGGAGCTGTAAGATGGCCTTGGCCAAAAACGACGGAACAAAACCCCAGAAAAGGAAGGCAGAAAACCGAAAATAAGACAGGAATTGGTCAGGACTCGAGATTGGGGGCGTCTTCCTAGAACTCGAATGTAGGATAGATACTTATATATCGGTGGGAATCGATGGAATCGGGGGATTGGGACTATGGATTGCTGGAGCGGCGAGTGTTCCTTCTTGATTTGTTGCATTTAACGTGTCGTAGCGTAATCGTATCCTAGACCGGAATCCTGCTTTTCGACTTTTGTACATACTATACACTGGACTATATCCGTATATCCGAGCATCCAAAAGAAAGCGGATACAGCGGATATGAATACACAGATACTAGACACGCACAGCAGACAGACAGACCGACAAACGAACGGATATGTAACATATATCAGCGATCTATTACTTATATATAAATATATGTATATCTCCATTTAGGACTCACGGTTATTTCTTTTTGATAATAGCATATTTTTACCAATTTTAATGCGCTAAATTGTCAAAAAAGAAACAATTTTACGGGGGCTATCTTATTGTATTATACAACATTAATCTACAAAAGTATATATAAATTGTATATCCTCTACAACCGAAGAACGGGGAAAAAACCAAACGATACCATACTGAAAACGAAAGACCGACACTTGAACCTAAAAACCAACCACCACCAAATAATGAAAATCGAATTCGGATCGTAGGCCATAAGTTTCAGAATCGAACTGTAGTAGAAACGATAGCAAAGATTTTTTAGGCACTTGTCGGGAGTCAATTTTTAAGTAGACAACGGGCAACTGAATGGATGGGCAGAGGGGCGTGGCAGGTTCTTGTTTGGTTTTTGGAGATTTACACGTATTTCATACCTATAATCAGAGTCTCCTTTTACATATTTTCAACTGATTTTCGAAAAGGATTCTCTATTCATTTTTTTCTAGAAGTCATTGCATTTTATATAATTTTTTTTTGTAGTTCTTATTAACCCAATGCATTTCTAAAATTTCTTCAATATGTGATATATTCGAACTCTAGTCATTCAAATTTTTGAAATACCCCTAAGAAGTTATGCTCAAGATATAGGGGTTAAAATATTTACTTGTAGAAGTCATCATTATCATCACTTTTAATGACCTAAGTTCCTGACTGAACGCATTTATACCTACTACTCCTAAAATAAATGTTTATAAAATCGCATAGCAGTGGCGCAGATAAGCCATTCCTTATTTTGCGTTATAAGAGAATCGAACCGATATGACCTCGAGTATGCCAAACGTATATTAGTTAATGGACAATTATTTAAGCACCCCAAAGACACGAAGTACTGCTATTATTAAGACCCCAAAAGGAATCGAATCGAATCAGCGATGCCCGAGCCACAGCCATTCAGGTGGATCCCCCGTTTAGTGCTCGACTCTGTCCTGGGTCTGGGTTGTGCTGCGGACGATCCCAGGGTCACTGGATCAGGATCATCACGGGATCGGGATCAGGATCGGGATCGGGATCGTCCGGGACTGGCGGGCTAAATCGATCGAGGATTTGAGCCTGCAATTTTATTGTGTATCTAACCTAAGCTTAACATGGAATGCATTTATTAAACCTAAACATAAACCAGATATATGTAGATATTTAGTGGGCTAACTGTATATTTAGTAGCTAAACGAAAGGCATATATAGTACTAGCGTAAACAATAACCAAATAGATGAGAGATGAGAGATAAACATTCGACTTGGCATGGAACCGATAGCAATATGAAACTAACACAAAGTACTGCCCCCCAAAACCAAAACGAAAATAAAAAATAACAGCCGAACAACCGACGAACCAAACTACAAAGTTATATAGATATATACACACACACAAACGATATATACACAAATAGATATTATAATAAAATAGTTATAGACAAGATACTTAAGCCTATCGACAACTATATACACCAGCAACACACAGCAAGTATAATCGAAGCATTTTTAGAGGGATTCCCGGAGGCCAACTTCCATCGAGGAGGACGAGGCCAATCAACTAAGTCGAGCCCCGAACACTGCCCACACAGCGAAAGTTCTCAACATTTAACGATCGATCGATCGATCGATCGATCTAGCCGTAATATACACTTAACGACCCTAACTAGAGCGTACTCTCATTGAAATGATCAATTGTAAGATATTAACAATCGGGTACTCGAATCGAAATTGAAATTAACTCAATCGAAAAAAAACAAGTGACATTTTTAAAGTAAATATGTAAAGATGGTGTAAAGAGAAACGGAAACGGAACAAACTAATCAAGTTTTTTATTCGCTTATTATACAATTACCAGTAATAAAAAACAAGACACAACTTCTCAGGGGTTCTGGAAAATACTTCAATGAATGGAACCCTTTAAGGATTCTCAAAGCCCCAAACAATGGATTGGAAAACACCGAAAAAACCGACCTCGAACCCCTTGGGAAGCAATGTTTTGGTCTTAAAAGTTTCGAACCCAGATTGAAACTCCATTAACACGTATAAATAAATATAACACAATTAGTTCGTAAATATATTTCTGTGTTAAATGTTGTCTCCGTACGCGTTGTAGTTATTACAAAAGAAAATCCCTAAAAAAACCAAGATTAACTCAAAATGCAGAAGAACCGAGAAATGGGCTAAACAAGATCCAAAAAGTAATTCGCATTTTTTTTCGAAAGCTCAACGGCAGCAGCAATAAGGCAAGTTAAGATCGAGTTGTACAACATATATATAAAATATATATATAAATATATAGTATGCATAGTTAAAGAAAATGTAAAGAACAGAGGCATAAATCGAAGCGCTTAGTGGCATATTAATTAACGAGTAAAAATACAAAAATGAACGACAAATGGTAATTCTAACGAATCGTAAGGGCAGTTTAAAAATTCTTGTAAGAAGTACGAAATACAAAGATCTACTAAATAAGTGAGTTCCAGAGAACACGCTTTGACCCGTCAAACTTTTTGGAACTGTTCCGAAAAGCGGGGAAAACCAAATTTCTGGAATGAAAAAATATTTTATGCGCAAAATCGAAATGAATCGGGTAATTAAAAGAACCGAGATTCCCGTGAAATGAAGATGAATTTCTTTCAAAAGCAAACAGCGGCAAAGTAAAACGCTAAAAAAAAATCCAACAAAAATATTAAATAAAAATATAAAATTTAATTGCATTAGTTAGATGGAGAAAAGTTGTTTTTATTGGGAGCCACTGAAACGATACGAATTCAAGGTAGGTTGTATTGAGGTTATCAACAAATTATAGCTTTATCGGTTCGTAATATCGTTTTGACCTAAAACCCTTGGATAATATAAAACATAATCGAAAACACAAGCCCTTTCTAATTTATTTCACATTTTATTTTGTATAGTTTCATTTTAATATTATCATATTTGTGCAGTTTTTTATTTCTTATAGCAGCAAATTGTATAATAAATATATTTTCGTTATTTAAATTTATACTTTTTGTTTTAATTTCTTTAGTTTGTTGTCACCTAGCTTCTTAAGAAATAAGAATAGCGCAATTTATTGCTTCGCACAATTGAACATTGAACAATTGCCTATATAATATGTCTCTCAAAGGTACTTGCATCTGAATATTAATTACAAATAGACACAAAAAAAATAAAATAAAATATTACAAATAAGAAAAGTGGAACGAGCGTTTTCTTTCTGATCATAAACATCAACAATGGTGGGAATAAAGTATATATATATAAGATAAAATAATATAATATATATAGTAGAGATATATAAAAGATCATAGGAATAGCAATATAAATATACATAAAAGCAATTAAATTGGATTTTGTGTTGTCATCATTTCGGGCGAACAATCATCTTTGGAATTGTTTTGTTTTCGTTTTTTTTTAAGTAGGGGGAGTGGAAATGAAGCCTTCTATATGTGTATATGGTAAATCTGTTCAGTTTTTGACTACGTGTTAAGCCTTGTTTGATATTGCTGCTTTTAAGGCCTCTCCCACTTTGAAATCCATTTTGCTGGCTCTGCCTTGATCTAAATGTTTCCTCTGCTGTTCATCTATAGGTATTTTAAAATGTTATACTCTTGTTAGTTATTGTTAATTGCACTGTTGGCGGCGGCCACGAGCTCGGGAACGCTGGAGGAAGCGGCACTGCTCTGGCTGACGCTGCGGCCATGATCCACATGGTTCTGGGTGGGCGCAGAAGCCGATGCTGTGGCCGCTCCCGCTCCCGGGGCTCCTGATCCGGCAGCCTCAGCTGCCGGGGGCGTGGCTTCCTCCGATCCGGATCCGGCGTTCCGTTCCGTTCCGGGCACGGGCTCCACCGTGGGAAAGACGGGCGGCGACGAGGGCGAGCCCACGGGCGTCTGCACCATGGGCGTGGGTGGCGAACGATTCGCTGGCAACTGATGGGCAGTGGCTCCGGTCATCTGCATGTGATACCTTTTAATAGAAAGATTCATTTAAGTCTAACAATTCTACATGGGCCGTGCTTTCAAAACCCACTTGTAAATATTTTCGGTGCTCTCGACCACGCCTTGGGTGAGATTGAGGCTGCGCCCTTTGATGCCCGACTCCTTGGCCGGCGGTGACCACCAGTTGAAGACGCGTCCCACCACAGGCACATGCCGCAGGATACCCTCCTGCCAGAGCTTCTCCTCCGACTCCCGCTGCAGATCGGCGGTGACCGCCTCAATGCCCTAAAAATTAGAATCAAATTACTTAGTGGTACATGGATACCGCACAAGCAGACCAACGAACCTTCTTCACAATCTCCGACATAGTGTCCAATACACGCGAATTCTCCTGCACGCTCTTGCCCACCGTGACCACCAAGTCCAGCAGCTCCTCGACCTCCGTTTCGTGGGTAACCATGCCGAATCGCACACATATTAGGCCATCGGTGCCCTCGCCTAGGGAGAAGGCATTGTCCGTGGACTTTAGGGCCTCCACCAAATCAATATTGAGCTTGTTTAGCTCGGTTTTGGCCTGGTCCGTGAGCAGGGACTCCCAGCCCTCGGGCACGAAGCGCACGCCTCCCATGCCCGCCCATTCGGGCAACGGGACGAGGCGCAGCACCTCGCTGCGCTCCACCAGGTGGATGAAGCGAGCCTTGTGCTTGATCGTCGCCCGCAGGATGTCCACGTGAGCCTCCAAGCTCTGGGCGAAGCTCTCCAGGTTCTCGGAGCTTGGTGGCTGCTCGCCCAGGCCCAGTTCCAGCGGACAGTAGCGAATGCAGCTTCCATGCGTCGGATGCTCTATCACCTCGAAGTCAAACTGAAAGTAAGTGGGCGATTAGGTAACATTGTACATGGATAGATGGTCAATTTGATGTATTCCTCACATTGGGACAGTCGCGCTGCAGTATCTGACCCAGCCAGGAGTTGAGACGGTCGAAGTAGGAAGCATTGTTGATCTTCTCCAGCGGCCGGAGACCCTCGGCCGTTTCCCGCTCAGCAGCAGCGGCGGCGGAGGCGGACGAGCCGCTGCTCCCCAGTGGAATGGTGGCGCTGCCATCGAACTGATAAGCGACCACGGGGGCGGCGGCATCGAAGAGAGCCTGGACATCGAAGGGGCTCTGGATGATGTCCGACAAAGAAGCACCGGTCTGCGATCCAGGCGTGTGGCTCAGCACCCGGATGCCCTCGCACTTGGAGGCGATCTCGAAGAGGATGCTGCACGTTTGGAAGGCCACGTGCAGACGCTCGGCAATCGACTTGCGCCCCAGGGCCTGCAGACTGGTCCACAGGGACAGCGCGTTGAGGCGACGCGACAGGATGGGATCGGACTCAAAGGCACTCAGCGCGCTGTTCTGCAGCGGGCGGTGCAGCAGGACGATGGGCAAACTGGGCACGCCCAGCCAGCTGCCCAAATTGAGGGCCATCGAGTGCAGCACCTCCTCCACGTGGCCTTGGCTCTGGGAGCAGACCAAGGCGGCAAGTCCGTGGCCACTGGCGTGCAGCCACATGTTGTGCGCCTTGCACACGTCCCGCAGCCGGAGTAGATTGTCCACATAACCGCACAGCGAGGCCCCAATGTCGGCGACCACTAGCAGCGGCGTCCTGTTGTTGCCCACATCCAGCTGGATTTGCTTCTGCAGCAGCGCCACATCCATCGTCCCGTACTGACTGTGCTCCGGTATGATCTTGATCGCCTCCACCGGTATGCCCAACTGCCGGCAGGCGTACTGCAGCCTCACCGGCGTCGTGTTCTCCGATATATAGAACGTGGGCTGGGCCAGAGCCGGTATGCCGCCCTCCAAGTAACCCGGACACCTGGCCACAATGGCCAGACGCACCGTGCGCAGCACTGCGTCCGCGTTGTCCGCGTGGAAGCTGCTCGCCGGATGGGCAAAGTGGAACAGCGAGCCCAGCCATCTGGTGGCGTCTCCGGAAATGCTATTGGTCACCCGGAGCAGTTGCTGGCGGTCCAAGTGCGACAGATAGGCAACGATGCTGTGCGAGATGAGGGCCAAATGGGAAACGTCATCTAGGGCGGGCAGCGGGAACTCCGGATCGTCATCGCTGTCCGTGTAGGAGACCAATTGCTCCAGAGACTTGAGGATGTCGGAGGGCACCCGGTGCTCCGCCGGCAAAAGATCCTCGCTGGTTAACCGCCGCTCCCGTTCCTGCAGCCCCGGCTCCTCCTCCTCGTCGTCTTCGTCATGCTCACGATGCTCGTCGGGATTGGGATTGGGATTCGCTTTGGGTTTCTCTGGCGATGACGACACCTTGACGTTCTCCAAGCGCTGCAGCACCTGCGAGGATCGCAGCTCCAGTTCGGCCAGGCCGGATCGAATCTACATGGTTGGATATGAAGTGGTTCAAGTTGGATGGGTAAACAACGGAGCTCCAGAAGTTGACGTGTCTTCCGTCGTCGTCAGCAAAAACGGAAGAACAAAAAAAAGAGAGAAGAGAACACTTACACTGGAGGCGGCGATTTCGGCCACCGCTGGCGTCGATTGGCCCGGATCCGGTTCCTGATCCACCGCCGGACTCTGGCCGGGATCGTCGTCCGATCTGCCAGCCGCTGACATGGTTTCAATGCGGTCTTAATCGCTTTTAACTTTATCTTCAAATAATTGTTTTCGTTTCGAGCCACTGCGTCTGTGTGTGTGAGTGTGAGCGCGAGGGTGCGGGTGTGTGTGAGGAATGGTGTGACCGTCGCGCGATTACTTATACGATGATGTGGTGATGAAACTAATTGGCGCCTTAATTTAAATCGAACGATTTGTTAATTAATTATCTTAATGTTCATGCTGATCATGTGCCGTCACCAATCTATTTAGTTATCATATTCAAAAACTGAAATTATCAACTTTTGAATTTTGTAAATGTAATTAAAGTACCGTAACTGATATAAAAGTGGTTTTAAAAAAAAGCATTCGTTATGATAAGTAATTGGTCATCAATTTACCAGTGGGCCACAATGTAAAGAAATATTAATAACCGAAATTGTTATTTTTAAATTTGAGTTATCAAGCGGTATTTTTGTCTTTAGTAAGAGAAAATATCATATTTGTTTTGGTATTGAAGTCCTAAGCAATCTCATCTTGTGGATATTGTTGTACCTTGTACCCAATTGTACCTGGTACCAATTTTGATTTAAATATTTTTTTAAAATATTGTTTGGTGCCAAAAGATTTTAAAAAGTTTAGCTGCTCTTCAAATTATAACACGGAAAAAATTTTATAAACAATACCCCGGACACAAGCCACCGCACTCCAATTAGAAATAACTTATTTTTCACACGGTCTCACCCAAATGTGTGGTGGATGACACCGCTAAGCTAGAACTGCTAGTTTAGTGGCACCGCTTTTGGTATTTCCTTCAGTATATTTGAATGGTATCAAAAGTATTTTTTTTCGGAGCTGGACGATATGATTTATCGATATCGCGAACACACGGGTGCATGAGTGTGGGAATTTATTAAACAAAAACGAAACGCGGACAAACTATATTTATGTAATAAAAGCAGCGCCAAAGAGTTATGAGCAGTCCACAACTAGGACGGACTATTTAGGCGAACGCACCGCTCGATCGACTGTAATCCAAGTGCAACTGGCTCAATCAATTGATTCGTTTTGCTCAGCTCGGCTCGGCCAAAAACAAAATCTATTCCCAAAATCGCCTCCGATTACTACTGTGTGTGTGTTGCTTTTTTTTTGCCGAAAAGTAAAATCAAATAAAAAACACAACGCACACACACGCGTGTGCAAGACAACAGAAGCGAAGAAGAAGAGCAGACGCCAGCTTACAAAAAGGGCAACAAATAAGTGCAAGCCAAATCTTCGCCTAGAAAAAGGGAACAGAACTAATCGGCAAATAATTAGTGGAGCCTAAAAAGACCGCGAAAAGTGCATAGAGGGAGAAACTTTTTTTTACCACCAAAAAGAAAACTAGAAGCCTTGTTATCGATTTTATTCGAGGGGAGGGTGTGCGTGTGTGTGTGAAGCGCGCCCGCGTGCGGGAGTGTGTGTGTGCTCTCGGCGCGTTATCAAAAACAACAACAATTGCTTGCAAAGTAACAGCAAAAGGAGAATTGAAGAAGAGGAAGAGATCTTTTAGCCGGTTGCAAATAGCGCCATCTCGCTCGCACCGCGTTCAATCGCGGATCGTGGTCGAGTTATCGAATTAATCGACCTCCAACCCCCCTTCCCACTGAACAAAACACCAAAAAACGGAGGAAAACACCATAACTCATTTATTTCAAATGATTTCGCTGCTGCAAATGAAATTCCATGCGCTTTTGTTGTTGCTATCAAAAGTCTGGACATGCATCTGTTTCATGTTCAATCGCCAAGTGCGAGCTGTAAGTACAGAAATTAGCCGAAAGAGAGAAGGAATGAATATGCCTATGCCTATGCCTATGCCTACTGCCTGTCAAAAAACAAAAATAGTTTTTATTTTTAACCGCCCGAAACCCTGAAATACTGAAATAATTCCCAACCCGCTCCCCCAACCGGCACACAAGTACTACTGCTACAAAATAATAATAATAAAAGCCACCACCGCAGTGATAAGACTTCCAATAATACAGTCCGCCCTCGCTGAAGTGCACAAAGCATATTAAATATTTTACCATTATGGGGTAGTAAGCAAAAACATTTACGGTGCCTCATTGAAAAATCCGAAAAAAAAACATTTTAGCTGGAAGTGTTTTCAGCTCTTGAAATAATATAGTATCTTATCAGAATTGCTGATATTTATTACTTTGATGTGGGGATTTCTTAAAGATAGTTCTGAACAGTAAATGTGATTGATTTTTTTAAGCAGGCGAATTCTTATTAAATTAAAATGATAGCAGTCCAGTTCTCTTCGTTTTGAAGAAGTTGTGGTTTCTATATAGCCCTTAGCCAGAGGCGGCTGTCTTAAAGTTAGCCTCTATCAATATTTTCCGGAACACGTTTGATGGGGCTTGTTCTACTGTAACCCCGTTCCCTCCACAAGTGCACTCCACCGATGTTCACCCATCCGCCTTATCGACCACCCGCCTTTTAAGTTCTCCCCAGTGCCGGCATTTTTGACTCGAAATCGTGACGCGGCAAGAAGCAATGACCTTCGACCTCCTCCTAGTTCTTGTTTTATAAACACCTTTGTAGATCTGACCCCATAGCATTTAACTCACAGCTAAAACTACTTAATGACACAATTCCTAATTATAATTATTCTAACATGGAAATTAAATTGCATTAGTTGAATTTACTTTTTAAACACTTAATGACTTACAAAATAAATGCAGTAAAAGATATGTGTAGTTGTAGTATGCAGTAACGTCTCCGCTTTGAGATCTCCCGCACCTTCAATACCATCTCGCACTTTAGCCCCCGAGAGAGTAGAGATCTAGTAACGACCCATCTTGTGAGCCCATTATATAGACCCCATGTTGAATGCCTTTCAAGTACTGCTCCGTTGATTATGTATTAACTTTCTTAGTTTATCCAGTATCAACCGGTTAAATATGAACTCTTCCCGCTGTCGCCCGTCTCGCGCCATCGCCTGAGCCTGGTGCAGCGAAAGACACTCGTTCTGGACCTGGACGAGACGCTCATCCACTCCCATCACAATGCGATGCCCCGGAACACGGTGAAGCCCGGCACGCCGCACGACTTCACCGTAAAAGTGACCATCGATCGGAATCCAGTGCGCTTCTTCGTGCACAAGCGACCGCATGTGGACTATTTCCTGGATGTGGTAAGTTTTAAATGGGGTTATATATAATATCAGAAACTTGGACTCATGTTTCTCGGTTATGTCGCAGGTCTCACAGTGGTACGACCTGGTGGTTTTCACGGCCAGCATGGAGATCTACGGAGCGGCGGTGGCGGACAAGCTGGACAACGGCCGGAACATTCTCCGGAGGCGATACTACAGACAACACTGCACGCCCGACTACGGATCCTATACCAAAGACCTGTCGGCCATCTGCAGTGATTTAAATAGGGTAAGATTGGGGAGCCCAGAGATGTGTTTCGATATCAGCCTTTTATTTTGATTAATAGCAGTTAGGATTTCATTAAAAATATATAGAGCTTGTAGTAATATCACATTAAAGTAAAGTATACTTATAAATTAAATAGTAATTTAACAAACACTATGATTGCATTTAAAATTAAAAGAAAATGTGCTTGCTTGAGTATTTTTTTTTAGAGCTTGTAATAATACCTATTAAAGCACACTTGTAAATAAGAAATGAATTTAACAACTACTACTTCCTTTCCAATTATTAATATTTATTTAAAATGAAATGGAAAATGCTTCTCAGACGGATGTTATTTCTAAATATGATATGAACACCCTTTTAAGAACAAATTTTAAATTGTATGTTCATTATCATCTCCAAACCATACATTCGATTGCTATGTTCTTTGGCTAATAGTTTCGTAATTCTTCCAAAGTGATTTTTTTTCTAAATCATGTCATAACACCATTTCAATTACACTTTTTAAATGTAAAGTACCACACATTACTGGCAGGGGTTTTATGACACCTCTGTAAGTAAAATTTGAAAATAGATGGTTATTTATCATAAATCTATCTAACTACACATTACATTTGTCTGTTCCCACGCTAATGGACTCGCACTTCTTGCAGATATTCATCATTGACAACTCGCCCGGGGCCTACCGCTGTTTCCCCAACAATGCCATACCCATCAAGAGTTGGTTCTCGGACCCGATGGACACGGCGCTGCTGTCGCTGCTGCCCATGCTGGATGCGCTGAGGTTCACGAACGACGTGAGATCGGTGCTGTCCAGGAACCTGCACCTGCACCGCCTCTGGTAGCAGGTGGGCCGCCTGTCGCTAGTGTAGTTTATCTATTTAGGAGGAGCCACGTAGGCCAGCGGAGTGGGGAGGAGGAGGAGGAGGATACCTTCTGAAATTAACAACAAACATGGTGGTGCTGTGACACATTAACGAATTTTTTCATTATTACTATTACGTTTACCATTCAAGTCAGAGGAGCGATGAGTGGAAAAGAGGAGTGGAGAGGAGACACACACAGAGATAATAGAGAGAGTGGAGGAGAGATTTGGAGATCTGGAAATCGATGGATTTATTCTTTTTTGTGTATTAAGTTTAACAGTTTTTGTAACAATCTAATTATACATGCATATTTGTCGATATATGTAGACCAGCTATTTTTATTTTTATTATTACTTTTTTTTGTATGTTTTTTGTATTTTTTTTGAACATTTTTCGTTTGTTCTTTGTGCGTGTATATTTTGATTATAATATCAAATGGAAACTCTTGAACACAGTATATATATATAAATATGAGAGGAAGTGAAGTAAACAACAGTAAGAACAAATTTGTCAAGTTATATATCATATTATTATAAATTAAATCTAAGGCCAATTACAACAAGAGTCTTGTAATTTGTAATTTCTATACCCATGATTACAATTAGTTATTATAAAACTGAAATTGTTTTTTATGAAGATAACAAGGCGAAGCAAAATACTTATAATTATACAAATTAGTTGATTACGAAACTTTCCTGGACATCATTATTATGGATAATTATTAAATGTAACCGATTCTGTATAGACTTATATTTGTTCTGCCCTCGTTTCCTGTACAAAACTAAACGGACGGAAAATCTTTCAAGAGTTTCATTGCTTGCAAACCAAACATAACACTTTTCTAAGGATAAGATTTTTGTCTTTCGAGGGAGTTATATATATTTATACATATATATATAAATCTACAACTAAGCAACAACCAACAACTATGAACTACTATTAAAGTAAACAACAACAACAAGAACAACAAGCAAGGCAAATGTTATATTTTGTAAGGCGAGCCAAGAAGCAATGAGCATTAAAAATCACATTAACTCTGATCGGATCAGATTAATGACAAGCCGCAGACTGGGACAAATATAGATAGGGAGTTCAGAGAGCCAAATCACTAATTATACGAGAACCGAGTTAGTCTGAGAATTGAGAAATCGTGGCACATCATCCGAGGCATCACAGGATATTCAGGATTCAGGAGAGCAGCAAATAAGTTAGTTGAAAGAGCAACAAGAGAAATCTGCTTCCATAGTTAATGTTATTTCCAAAAGCATAAATACACCACTCTAAATCTAAACTAATCAACAGAAGCTTGCACACGCCCTTACCTTTACCTTTACCTTTACCTTCTGCCCCACCCCTATCGAATTGTTCTTTTTATCGTATTGTAAATTTACAACAATCACTATTTGTTTATTTATTGCAAGGAAAACAAGAATAATACGTGTATGCGATGTTGTTAATTTTAAGTAGTTTGTAGCAAATTTGTTAAAATGAAACGTAAATGAAATAAATGAGAAAAGGGAACACAAAAGCAGAAAAAGAATTACAAAAAATACCACAAAACCATGCAAAATCAAAAGAATGTGTCTTCTTTTTTCTCCTTTTGAATTTGGCGCCTCCTTACAGCCTTACAGAATGTTGTAGCTAACCAGCTGTTAGCAAGGTGCTTGACCTAACAGGTGTTGCAAGTTGAGAAATTGTGCTGTTAGGCGCACGAAACATCGATATACCGGGTAAAAAATATACCGATATTTATTTATATTAATTTTTATTCAAAAATATCGATGTATTGATTCTTGATATTTTTCACATCCGTAGTATTTACGCAATCCCCCAATTTTTAAGATAGAAACCCCCCTCTGATTTAAAGAAAACCGAATCCATGGCCACCGCCGCAGCTGTAGCAAAAGTGGGAAAATCTGTGCACCGCATCTTCGTGGGCAATCTGCCGTGGACAGTGGGCCACCAGGAGCTGCGCGGCTACTTCCGCGAATTCGGACGCGTGGTGTCCGCCAACGTGATCTTCGACAAGCGCACCGGCTGCTCCAAGGGCTACGGCTTCGTTAGCTTCAACAGCCTGGCCGCGCTGGAGAAGATCGAGAACGAGCAGAAGCACATACTGGAGGGCAACTACCTCAACATACAGAAATCTTAGATCGCCCCAGTCGCTCCAGTTTGTCATTTAGTTCATAAGTTTTTTAGTTTTATTTTATTGGACATGTCGGACAGCGATACGGATCCCGAGGAGGAGCTCTTCCACCTGGCCACCGAGCATGTGGCCCGGCAGACGACCAACATCGGCTCCGCGGATCTACTGCTCTTCTACGGCTACTACAAGCAGGCCGCCGAAGGTCCCTGCGAGGAGCCCAGTCCCGGGCTGCTCCAGCTGAGGGCCAGGAGCAAGTGGCAGGCCTGGCGGAATCTCGGCAAGATGTCCCCCTCCGCCGCCAGGCAGGCCTACGTCCAGAAGCTCGACGAGCTGCAGCCCAACTGGCGCTCGCGACGAAATCCCGGCTGGGTGGTGCACTCCATTGAGTCCGCCCCGCTGGAGGATCAGCGTTCCGACAGTGAGAAGACCCTCTTCGATCACGTCAAGGAGAACAATTTGGACAGGCTGAGGGAACTGCTGGCGCCCGGGGATCTGGTGAAGCTGGACGAGCACGGCATGGCCCTCATCCATTGGGCCACCGATCGCAATGCTGTCGAGATCATTCAGTTTCTGGTGCGCAGCGGAGCCAGTGTGGATCAGCGGGATGCGGACCAGCAGACGCCGCTGCACTATGCCGCCAGTTGTGGCCACTTGGAGGCTCTGCGATGCCTGCTGGAGCTGCGCGCCAATCTGGAGCTCTGCGATTCGGATGGACAGACCTGCTACGACGTGGCCGACGACGAACAGATCTGCCAGGTGCTCCAGACGGAGAGAGAGCGCCTCAGCGGATCCGCTTCCTGATGCTGAACGCCATTAAATCTTAAGTTGTTAGGTGCTCCTTTGCTTAGAAACCCTGTAAAGTGTTGTGAGCCATTGAAATTCACCGATAAATCCTTTGTAAACTTGGTTTCTGTTCTCACTAGGGGTTTCATATCCTTATAAATGCTACGCTTTTTAACATATTAAGTTGTTAGATCTTCCTTGGAAACGCAATAAACATACAGCACAATATGTAAGCTATTAAAAAGATTATATTTTCGTTAATATATGGGACTAGCTCGATTTGAAAATGAAAGAGATAGAAGTATGCAGTCTTGCAGGCTAAGAAGTTCAAGTTTGCTTTTCAAATTGATCAGGTTTTGTCAAAATTAAGTTATGTTATTAAATTCTGCTTAAAAATGTTGTAAATACAATAGAAGTTTTTCTTGCGAAGCGTAAATTTACCATTCAAGAAAAACAAGATAAGATTTAGGTTACTAACATATGTATTTATTGACAATGAAATGAGGTTCGCATTCGCAATGGCTGGTCTTAGCCTACTTCCACAGCTTCTTGATGGACATGTTCTTCTCTGAGTCCTTCTGCATAACCTTGGCCACAGCCATCTCGAAGTCCTCCTGGGTGACGTGAACACGACGCTCGCGCAGCGCGTACATGCCGGCCTCCGTGCAGACACCCTTGACCTCCGCACCCGATGCGCCCGGCATCAGCTCGGCAATCTTGCGCAGATTAATGCCACGCGTGAGGTTCATCTTACGCGAGTGGATCTTTAAGATGTCCAGACGCGCCTCCTCGTTTGGTGGCGGGAACTCGATCTTGCGATCAATGCGGCCGGGACGCAACAGAGCTGGATCCAGGATGTCAATGCGATTGGTGGCCATGATCACCTTGATGTTCTTGGTGGCCTCAAAGCCATCCAGCTGGTTGAGCAGCTCCAGCATTGTACGCTGCACCTCCGAATCGCCACCGGATCCAGACTCGATACGCGACGAGCCAATGGAATCGATTTCGTCCATGAAGATAATCGAAGGTGCGTGCTCGCGGGCCATAACAAAGAGCTCTCGAACCATGCGCGAACCCTCTCCGATGAATTTCTGGACCAGCTCCGAGCCGGAGACTCGAATGAAGGTGCACTCGGTGTGATGGGCAACGGCCCTGGCCAGTAGGGTCTTGCCCGTACCCGGAGGTCCGTAGAGCAGCACTCCCTTCGGCTGTGCAATACCCAAGGCATCGAACAGCTCGGGGTGCTTTACGGGCAACTCAATCACCTCCTTGATCTCCTTAATCTGCTTGTCCAGGCCGCCAACCATTTCGTATGTGGAGTCGGGTACCTTCTCCACCATCATCAGGGAGACCAGGGGATCCACTTTGTTGGGCAGAATCTTGTGCAGCGTATAGCTCTCATTTCGCAGGGCCACACGGCAATTGGGGGTCACATCGTTGATATCGATGTTTTTGTCCAGATCCACGACAAACTTTCCCTCGGGGTGCACCTTGACCAGCACCTTCTTCTTGTCCATGGGCTTCACCACCTCGCCCACATAGCTTCCCTGTTCCTGGAGCAGCTGCAGCTCCTCCCGCAGCATGCGAACTGCAAGAAAGGACTTGTTAGGATCGGTTTCTCTCCACATTGTCTAAATTAATGATTAGGCTTGTTGAAGATACACTAGTTTAACATGCTATGAATATGCCCATGAATAGTGATTGTCGTCTACATTCCATGGCAATGTGCATCTTGGACCCCCATAACTACCTTTCGCATTGAGCTCGTTTCGCTGAGCCTGCAGACGCCTCAGATTCTGGTGCTTCTCGGCCACAATCAGCTGCAGTTCCTCGATCTTCTGGATGTAGTAGGACCGGAATCCCTCGCCCTTTTGGTAGGCCGACTCGATTTCCATCTGCGAAAACAGTAAATCAGACCTTTCGCGCCAAAGAAACCAAAGGGTCCGAAACCACGTACCCGATTCGTGACCGTCATTTTGCCCGTGTCCTCTTTGTTGCGCTTTAACCTGATTTTATTCGTGTTGTTTCTTCCACCATGCAAAACTTCGAGTTAATTTTGATTTTTCGTATGACTCGGCACTTTGCTTCGTTTTTAGTATTTTTAGAGTGACCGTTTCTAGTGATAGGCAATAGTACGATAAAATACCCAGTATATCGCTAGTATCGGTTTCTTAAAGTAGCGGATTTGATAGAAATAGCTAAATAAAATAGCTAGATACAAATATATTTTAATGGTTGTTATAACTTTTATTATTTATTTCTTTATTTGTAGACAAAAACATTCACTATATAGTTTCAAGAAGAATTTATATATTTTACAAAAAAAGCTAGATTTTATAGAGTTATCGATAACAATAAGCTAGATATCACTGTTAATTTCGAAATTTAAATTTAAATTCAAACTTAGTTTAAGTTATTGGAAACTACAAATACAAATCAAATACTAATGGTGGGCATGAAAAGAAAACAGTGAATCCTCATTACTCTCCACATCGACAGTCAAAAGATCCAAATGAGTTGACGGCCTCCATCAACATGTGCTTTGAGAACAAAGTACTGTTTGGTGCTAAGAAAACTAAACAATATATTCAAAATCCTCTGCCGAACATTGAATTTTACACCTTTTCACCCTCTATTTTGTGTGAGAGGTCTGCACATAGTCAATATTCCTTTGGTTTTGTTATTGTACACATTGAAGTCGAAAATGCCGGCTACCAAGGGACTTTTGTTCAAGCGCTACATTCGGATCGAGCTAAATTTGTGGCGAAGGACGCTGTTCGAGATCATCACCATGCTGATCATGGTCCTGGTTATCCTTCTCAATCCCATTGCCCATTCCAGAAGACTTCTTTACACGAGCCACGAGCACGAAAATGAACAGAGCATCGTATCACACAAGCTTCAGGATATAAACATATTAACGTAAGTGGGTATATGAAAAACACAAAGATCTCAGGATCACTAAAAGTTCCAAACTGCAAAATTGGTATGCGGTGTTCTATCATTATCATCCACTACATTCCGCAGTCGAATGGCGGACTCGAAGCGGGAGAAGACCAAGTACAGCCTGGCCTACACGCCCAAGACACCATTTACAACGGACGTCGCCAGGAGCGTGGCCAAGACGCTGGAACTGAACTCCACCGTGGGCTACAGGCTCGAGTCCGAGATGCAGGATCAGTTTGACGAGCGGACCACCCTGGCGGGCATCGTATTCCATGGGGCCAGTCGAGGGGGCACTCCTTTAAAGCTCTCCATTTCGATCCGCTTCCCCAGCGAGTTTCGTACAATCGCTCCGTTTCTCACCGAGGATCGCCTGTGGATAACCCGCTGCTCGGGTCGCATTAATCCCGGACGGGATCAGGCCAAGCATTTCAAACAGCAGGATTTATATATACGCGAGGGATTTCTGCAGTTGCAGCATCAGATCTTTGTGGAGTGGTACCATCGATTGCGCGCTGACTTCATCACCACCTATCCGGAACCCAATGTCGAGGTCTACAACATCCTGCTAAACGCCGCCGACGAACCGTGCTCCGTGATGAGTATCGCCCGACTGCCCACGTTCCTATATAACTTCATATACCTACTGCCCTTCCTGAATATTATCAGAGTGAGTGTCCAAAAACCTATGTAGTATCTATTAAAACATTACTACATATCGAAAATATCATCGGGATTCAAATATCATATATAACTTTAAGCTCATTGACCTCGGGATCTTACTTAGAGTTTGACTTAGAGTTGTGAAACTTAGTATGCAAATATGTAAGGGAATTCCCATGATATTAATACGATTTCGGCGTCATCCCCAGAACGTGGCTGCCCAGGTGGAGGATGGTGTTATGGTGCACCAGTGGCATTATGGTTACTCGTTTGGCCTGCAATGGGGCTTTAAGTTTATGGTGCTTTTTCTGAGAATGCTCATTTTAGGTGCACTATTTTTAATAATGGTTTTGGTAAGTTCCTGCCTCATAACCATAGTAAAATGTAAAGTATTATATTGATATATTTAGCTCTTCTGGGCGTTTGGTGGGCGAGACGGTGAGTTCTCTGGCAAGGGAATGATAGGCTTTATCTGCTTCATCGTGGTCTATACCGTGGAGATCGTAATCACCGGAATGGTGGTGGCCAAGCTTTTTGCCAATCCCACCAATGCGGTCCTCTTCGCCCTGCTCCTGTGGCTCTTCATGTATGCGGCATTCTGCATTATACTGGAACGCTACTGGGACATCCACAAGTACTATGTGTTCTTCATCCTGGTGGCCTTCTGCAACTGCCAGATGCACTTCAGCATGAGCCTGTTCAAGAACTGCATCGATGACCCGGATAGAGTGCAAACCATTGACTTCGTAGTGCTCTTCACATCGGCCATTAGTTCGGCCTTGATTTATTTACTGATTTTGTTGGCCGTCCAGTGGCGAATGCCGGGCACATTTCTCAGTCGCCGGATAGTGAACAATAGACCCCGGAAGCAAAAGGAATCGGATGCCACCATCATATATTTGGGCAGAGCCCCAAGTTTCCAAAACTTCGAGTTCGGTGATGTGGGCAGCGAGGAGCTAATGCGATTGCGTCACGTCAGCACCACACATCGCGACTCGGAACGAAAGATCCTGAAGAACATATCCATGCGGATTTATCGTGGAGAGGTTTACGTGATCCTTGGCCACATTGGTTCCGGTAAACTCACACTTCTTCGAATTTTGGCTGGCCTCAAGTTCCCCCTTCGCGGCAGCGTCTCCATTCTGGGGAAGCCCTTCCAGCCCTATGGTAGGGATATATATATGTAGTTTTTGCTATACAATACTTATTCCAAAATATAGGAGACACCCGGCGCATGGTTGACTTCCGTTTCGATGAGCATGGACTCAACAAGCACTTGACCGTGGAGCAGACCATCGACTACCATGTCCGCTTAAAACTGGCTCCCAACGAATCCGATCGCTACGAAATCGAGCGGCGCAAATGGTTGGCCATCCTGGACCAGCATGTCGAAAGTCGGCGAACCACGATCGGGAAGCTGGGTTCGGGCGCCATGAAGCTGGTGGCTTTGTGCTGCTGTTTGGCCGGTGATACGCGCATCATTATCCTGGAGGAGCCGACCATTCCGCTGACGGGACGGGAGGCACAGGTCTTCTGGTCGATTGTCAACGCGGAGAAGGACAATCGGGCCTTCATCATAGCCACCTACAGTGTGGGCGAGGCGGAGCACGCCGCCGATCGCATCGGGATCCTCAGCATGGGCGTCCTGGAGGCCAGTGGCACCCCCTTCTTTTTGCGAGCCAAGTTCAGCAGCAGTGTGGATCTGGTATTTATGGAACTCTTAAAAAAGTTATAAACACGTTGATCATTGTATAAATATTACACAGATTACACTAGCTGTACAAGGAGTTATAATTTCAAATATGCTTTACATATTCCCAGGTCCTTATCAAGAAGCCACACGTGCCCGATCAGCCCATCACTGACTATATCAACCAGTTTGTGGCGAACATCGAACCGGAGAATGAAATCGGTGATACTCTAACCTACCGAATACCTGTAATTTTCCGTCCAAGGCTGCAAAAGCTATTGATTCACCTGGAAATCGATCGTAAGATGCTGGGCATCGAGAATGTGAGAATGGTGGGTGCGGAACTCTCCGACATATATATGAAGCTGGTCACCTCCTTTCGACTGCAGCAGCAAATGATTCCGGATGTCAGTAAGTTTCCAACTATACGATCTTGCGCAATATTGTGGGTGAAGCACTTAATTTTGGTATGCCGACTTGGGCTGTAGTTTTATAAAGAAATAACTAAAGACAGGTGGGGTTGGGGACTATTCAACTTTGTCGGACATCTTAAAATTGAAATGCTTAAATATCAATAATATCAATATATATTTACGACTCATATCCACAGCTCAAACATTCAAGTACCAGGTGGTTTCGCACACGCAGCTGACCAGGCAACGGATGCGGGCCATGCTCTACAAGAAGATGATCCACACGGCGCCCAATGTGTGGCCCATTATCATGATTTTCACCAGCTTTGTCCTGATCGCCATCATCGCTCGTTTGTCGGTGCTGCTGGATATGCCGAAAGTGCGCCAGAACACGATACACATTGGTTTCATGGAGGCAGAGGATGTGTCCAAGATCATACCGAATTTGAAGAAATGTGGCTACATCGACATCAAGCCAACGGTGAAGGGTGTCAAGAAATTGCCCATCGAAACCTCTAGGACCTTCAATGCCAAGTCGTTTGCTTGCGAGAAGGGTAGCTATCGGAACGATCTGAAGAAGAAGAACGAGATGAGGAGTTACGGGGCCGTGGAGGCGGACGGGGAGCAGGAGCTCAACGGCTACATAAGTCAGGATTTCTTCCACTCGGCTCCCATGATGCTCAATCTGCTGCACAATATTATACTAAGGTACTCACCTTATATTGTGTGGGGAATACTAATGATTTTACTTTTATTTCCAGACTTTCCTATCCGGAGCAACAAAACATCGTTGCCCTGGTGGAGAATCATCCGCTTCCCACTCAACTGTCGCGAAAGATTAATCTGCTGGACAACAAGATCGCCCACATCCATGCCCCACTGACCATCGGCTGCATCCTGCCCCTGACCGTATCCGTTTTCGTCATCCCTCTGGTGGAGGAGCAGATCTACAATGTCCGGTTCCTGCAACATATGGCCGGACTCGGCCTGAAGGTCTTCTGGGGCGTCAATCTGTTCTGGGACTGGTTCACCTTCTTCATCTACTCGGTCATCATTGTGGTGATCATGAGTCTGATGGGCATCGGCGGCTTTGGGTTCACCGAGAATGCGATTCTACTGCTCCTGCTGTGCATCTTTGGACTGGCCGCCCTGCCGCTCACCTATCTGGTGTCCATGTTTGTGAACAAGTCGCTGGTGCGGGCCTTTCTGGTCTCCGTGCTCCTGCAGTGTGTGTCCGGCCTGGTGCTCTACATGATCTACTGGGATGTGGCCAACAGCAATACGATCTTCTTCTACGGCGCCTGCATGTCGCCGGGATTCTCGCTCCTCGACGGAGTCAGCAATGTCTATACCCAGCGTCTGGAGCAGGAGATCTGCAATGCCAAGTGCCAGGCGCACATC